GCTGGATACATAGTATATTGATCAATATCACATGGACCAATCAGATCTCATCATTCTGACATGGAGGTTTGATAAATATATTTGTAGTGTGAGGTGAGGATGATTAAATTTAGAGATTTCCATGGAAATAGAGGTGAAGTGAGGTGAAATGGGGTTTAAATGTCATGTTCAAGGTAGTTGACATGCATGTGCTCTAGCATGTGTGCTTCGTGCATATGTGCGTATGTGTATTTGCCATGCTTGTGATATGAGCTTAATAAAATAAAATCAAGTTTGTCCATTTTCCAAAGGTCACAGTCCCTTGCCTGCTTATAATGTTTGTTTGTTTGTTTGTTTGTTTGTTGTTTAACGCAGCACTTAGCAATATTCTAGCTGTATGATGGCGGTTGGTAAATAATTGAGTCTGGACCAGATAATCCAGTGATTGATATCATGAGCATCGATCCACGCAATTGGGATCGATGACATGCACCAATAAAGTCAGCGAGCTGACCACCTGATCCCGTTAGTCGCCTCTTATGACAAGCATAGTTGCCTTTTACGGCAAGCATAGGTTGCTGAAGACCTATTCTACCCTGGATCTTCATGGGTCTTATTTTAATGACTCATCATGGCAAAACAATTTGCTCATATGACTCAAGTTTTATGGACATACCGCTAAGACATCATGTAAAGTCCACAACCAAAGATGTCATCATCCAGTTCCTCCTATGTGAGGCTGAGAACATTTCGGGGGCACGGGTGGCCCAGTCGTCTAAGGCGCAGTGATTCACTGGGCAGAGTTACGTCCCTTTGGCACGCTAGAAACCTATGATTGTGGGTTCGAATCCCGGATCGCCCCGATTATATTTCTTGGTTTGTCAGCACCATACCCGTGCTCGTGTGTTTCACCAAAATGGTAACCATCTGAGACCTGCATCACTTTGGGCTTTCCCCTCACATTAAGCTGACACGCCGTGATATGACTGGAATACTGTTAAAAGCAGCGTTAAACCCAACTCACTCAGTCACTCACTCACTGAGAACTTTTCAATCAACTCGATCTTGTAGATGTAATATTGCTGATATATTGGCATAAAACAACATTCGCTCAGGCACATGTTATTGTAGGATGTCTAAGATGAGCAAAATTGATATAAACTGTTTAATAAATGTTTTTAGTTTTTTAGATCAATGTTTTCTAAGTTCATGTCATTTGTTGATTAATTTGCCAGGACAGACACATATTTATAGGGGTTTCAGATGATTTAATTTTGTTTATTTTTCATGACACAAACAAATATAAATTAACAAGATATTGATTTACAGATAAAACTTCATTTGAATAGCAAAGGCAGTTTCATAGGATAGTGGTAAAATATATGTCTTCAGAATATTTTTCAGTGTGTACCATGTATCAGTGTGAGACACTTTTAGAATCAAATTATTTTCATTTTAACACATTGCAAGATAATGGATCTCAGTTTTCAAATTAATATGTATTGCTTGTCAGTTCCAGGATCAAATATTCAGCCATTTTACCATAAAAGTTCAATATTTTTATGCACGTATTGAGGCAATTATTAACAAAAATTGTAAGTTTAACAAACACCAAATATATGGTTCTGATTTTACTTTACATAATCAAGAAAGATATATCTTATTTCAAACTAAAAGTTGGAAATAAATCTATTGTCAATATTAAAAGATTCAAAATTGTTCTTTTTAACAAATCTCCAAAATATGTCTCCCATGTGAAATGAGTCAAAGTGAGAATGCCTCAAATATCAATTATGCTCATGAATCACAGATTATCAAATTAAAGGCATTGACACGAAAAGCAGCCTTTAAAAATATAATGAGTCCTCGTGAGAACTATTTTCAGACCTTAAAAAAGTCTGAAAGGTATTTTCGAAAATGTTCCACCCAACCAGGAATACGTTGATGAACCCACGGCTTCTACTGTTGCGTCTCTTGGGGAAACTGCACGGATTTCTTGCCCAGGCCGAAGATGCGGATAGACGCAACGTGAACCCTCTTATTTGGGCCCTCAAAGCCATGTTGTCAAAAGAAGTGAAGTGTTTCTTTGCTTCACGAGCGGCATAACACAATGCTAATTGTCAGGTCTGTTGTGGCAGTGGGAGGTCACGTGATGTAAAAAGTGCCATTGAAGCGAGATTTTTTCTGATTTTTCTTTTGTTCTGATACTGAGAACATGATTATGTTGTGTAAAATGTGAACTCGGCGAGAGAATCAATCATCTATGATTACTGTTTAAGTTCAGGGTTTGTAAGCATGTGATTACAGGGTTTTCAGGTTTTTTATTTCTAATATGAGTTGACTTGCTGGCCCATTTGATCAAATTTAGAGCTCTTAAGATTGTAGGGATTTAGCATGTCTGACTGCAGTGGAGCTTTTGTATGGGAATAGATGCAAGATAGGTCTCTGCCATGCTGAGGCTGTGAGTTTGAAAAGTGGCATGTGAGAAATAAATAGCCATGCTACATTATAAAAGATTATTCAGGGGCAAGCAGGTATTTTTTGGATCATCATTCCACAATATCCAGTGGAGAAAAAATCAAAAAAATCATTTGAGCTTTTTTAGTTTCCAGTGCATATTACAGATTCAGCTATTGCACTCTATAAGGTTCATGTGCAAGGTCCCATGTGTAGAAGTTGAACATAAAAGTCTGTGTGAAGTAATAATGTTCTTGTTACTTTGTATCATTGTTTTGAGCAAAAATTCAATTGATTTGTTAACTGCCTATTAATACATTTTTAAAATAGAATATATAAAATATCAACACCAGAAAACAACCAGTCTCGATTAAACACCGAAACAGATTCCATTGGGTGTAAAAGGCAAAATTGTGATGAAAATTATATATGAAAGGAATGTATGAATATTAAAATCAGGGATAACACCAGGTGTTCACAAATGGTACCACCCATGAGTAAGAATTGGTCTTCAGCAGCCCATTCTTGCTGCAGAAGGCGACCATGCTTGTCGTAAGAGGTGACTGACGGGATAGGGTGGTCAGGCTTGCTGACATGGTTGATGCATGTTATTGTATCACAATTGCATAGATGGATGCTCATGATATCAATCACTGGATTACCTAACCCGAATATTTACAGATTGAATATATAGCTGGAATATTGCTCAGTGCAGCATTAAACAACATACAAACACAAATAGGTTACCCTACCGGTTGCACCCTTCTCTAACACAATTTGCATAAAATAGTAAGTAAATACTTACAATTTGACACATTTTAGTCTTACATAATGTGCATTTAGTATTGTTATATGTCCCATTGTAGGTCCAGTGTAATTACAGTTTGTAAACTTCCATAAAGATTTGTTTCCCATATCTTAAATTATGCAAATCCCATGGGCCAACATGTCATACCTTGTCCTTTAGTCTCAAAATAACCTATCGATGTCTAGTAGGATGATATGGCTGAATTATTACCGACTATAACATGAAAGCCCATTCTCTCTCTCACGCATCATGTCAGGAATTGTATTTTATTGATACATGTGTTTAAAGAGTAGATTGCAATAGTGAATACATACAGAGTGTAGGGCAAGCTGGTACATGTGCCAAAATGACGGGTGATTGATCAAAGAAATGTATTGGTTTTTTAACAAAAAAGAATAATACGGGGATTAACTGAGGATTAGCGATCTTAAAACTTTTATGTCACTTACACATTGGCATAAATCACTTTCCTTGCCGCCATTGTCAACATGTCATCAAGTGTTCGTATCGTGTAATAAACATGGCCGTGATGACGTTGGTTCTGTCAGATAGGGAACATCTGGTATTGGTACAAAGAACTTGATGATGGCTGATCATGTAACTAGTTATGCTTGCCTGAAGCAAACAGAATGGTAATTTGACCATGGCATGAGACATTGGTGCCAACTTTGGTAGATCCATGAAGCATGGCATTAGTACAGGTTCTTGCGTTCTATGAGTCACTCATGCTTTAACACAAACAATATTGATGTATTTTCACAACTTAGGCCCATATTTCATCATTATTAGCATTTTTTGTTCTGGTGATATTGATGACCCCTGCTGATTTACCGGCATGATGAATGCTAGGGCAGTCTTTTTTTTAAATGGTTTGTTTGGCTAGACTGATGACATTTATTCTTGTGATTCATTTTCATGTGGTTGTCTGATCGTGTCGCTGGCATTGTCATTCTGCTTTTTAAAATTTATAATAATAATATAGAATAGATATCTCTGCCTAAAGCAGAGTCGATTGTAAGATTCTCACAACATCATGAGCATGTGTTATTAGTTGTTATTTAATGTTTTTCTGGCCTTCTGTATCAATTTCTCCAGTGTCAATTCAACATTCAGCTTTTGCAATGACACAAGTGAAAACATTCTACACATTCCCGCTTTCTATAATTTAAAATAATTGTCATATTTTTATGTGGCATTAAACAACAAACAAAAAAACATTCAGTGTAATGATATGGCCTATGACCTGCATTAGTTAGCCACCTTGTGAGTGAGTGAGTAGGTTTTTACGCTTTAACCGATAGGCTACCCTGTGATATAATTGAGATATTGTTCACAGTCTCATCTCGACTTTCAGAATGATTTGGTGTGGGTCAAAGTGTCCAAGGTTGATTCCATGTGTAGATGAAGCCCAAAATATTTGTCATCATTTAACTCTTGCCTCATGATGAAGAACAAAATAATTTGGCGTAAAAGAAATTCAGATTTATAGTACAAACATATTCATAGCATTTCACTCAAGGAGACATGTTGTCTGTCCTAATTGAGGTATGTGGCAATAACACCAAAGCAGTTAAAAAAACCTTTTGTTTTATGTGACATAGTGTTTAACATTTGCCAGAACGCTATTGCCCATCAGTTGTCAAACATTGATATATATTCTTTCATTTTTCATATAATCATTTGGTTTGCATGCCATTCAGATGAGGTGCAAATATATGAGACAGACATGCAAATAAAATGTCATTTTCTTTTCCAGCCAATGAAAAGATCAAAGACATTAAGACAAAACCAAAGAATTCTGCTCAAATGGTAAGTTATTTTTGCTTTCCTATTATACTTCAGAACATGGATGCTTTCTTCCAGGAATTTGTTTTTCAGAACATATGGCTACAGAATTTCAGATCTGTCAGTGGAATAAGCAAGGGGCATAAGCTTTGACAGCTTTCAAAGACCAAGAGGAAATTTCTTCAAAACAGCCTTTTCAAACAGAGTCTTTACTTCAGAGCCATATCGGTGCTTTCACTGTGGTAAATCTATGTGAAAGTTTATGCACTGGCACCAGCCCCCTGTATACATATAAGCCTCACAGAAGATGGGTATACTACCGTATTTTCTTGAGTATAGTGCACACCCATGTATAATGCGCATTCCCCTCTAGCGGATTCAGTATTTTGGAGAAAAAAATAATTGAATGTCAAGCGCAGAAAAAAATTACACCATAGATCTACCCCTTCAGCGAATTCCGGTACACGAACGGGTGATGATAAACTTGGTCAGTACAAATTTGAAATTTGAGATAAAAAATCACCAGACATATTGATTTACCGTTTAAATTGTATTTTTTGTTCTGCTAGGCATTGTTTTACATCCAGAGATTAAGATTACCTTGTGTATTTTCTCATAAACTAAGCTGGACAAAGCAATCAGCCGTACACACATTTTCTTGGAATCTACCGGTGATTCGGTCAAGACACACCCAATGATATAACTTTACAGGATTTTAATGCAAGGATTGGCAAAAATTGTATCTGAAACTATTTTTTTTATCAGGAATAATATATCCCAATATCTTGTTAATTTAGATGCAGCTTTTACTAAACATATTGTAAATAATAATAACCCTACGCGAAGCAGCTGATGGCTATTGCCAGTTATATACCGGTACTACTATTGCAAGCCAATGTTGAAAAATGGTCTTACTGCTATGATGGTGCCAGTCTTCTAGTAGTATTACAAGAAGTTGTATAATTCAATCTTTTTTCAGCATTATCACAGTGCTTTGGGTCTTAAACTGTTTTGACAATTTCAAGTTTAATGTTATTAATAAATATCGCAAAGTAGCATTATCCAATAATTGCCCCCTAAGCCAGAGGTCATTATTTTGACATGGCAAGTCACAAGGTCGAAAAACACCAGTACAAGTTATGCAAATGACACATGTCCAACACCATTTAATTAAATGGACACGTTCCGCATAATCCCCAGTGTCAGCTAATATTAGTGGTGTCTCTTATTGTGGGCTGGTATTGGATTAAGTGAGTATGATGCTGTCAAATGAAACTGACAGTGACATAATTGATACAAAACTTGACATCAGAACTGACATCAGAAAAAATGTCATATTTTTAGCTCACCTGAATTGAGGAATATGAAGCAGCCATATATCACAATGAGCTGGTCTATGCTCTAGAGCAGACAAACATCTGAAATATGAACCTATCGGTACATTTAGTTGGGGTTTGAAACTACAACAAAGCAGCCAGCACAAACGATTGGAAGTGATTTTGGAAAGCAACCAGGTTATGAATGTAAACCACCTAATCAGTTTAAATACAAGTATATAAAGCACCTATACTGATGGGAAATAATAAGGGAACATATATCCATGACCGTGGAATATATTTATTTTATGAATTTGATTTTTAGAAACGCATACAAAAGCAAGTCTAGCCAGCCCTAGCTAGCTCTATTCCACATTTTTTTATTTTTAGAGTCAAGAAGGATATTGTGTAATATAAGATTTCAGAGACTAAATGTTAGTTTATAATATAGCAGCAGAATTAATATAGATGTTTCATATCTGTGGATCAGTGGATCCAGAGTCCCTGCTTTTTACAATATACTTTGTGTGGTCTGCATCAGATCTCATAACATGTTAATGCAGGAACTACCGTATTTGATGTAATAAGTGCCCTGGGCGCTCTCAAAATTAGAACTAGGGGGCTCTTATTAGAAAAATTTTGGTGGAAAAAACAGAGTTGAAAGATAAATTTCGTGGTTTATGCGGACAGCCTGAAATGTTTATGTACGACAGATATATTTTTCCAGAATTTAGTTGCCCATAATTAAGGGTGCATTTAACACACGAATGCGTATTATACACGAAAAAATAGGTCTGGTGTACATTGATCAATCGGAGGGGTGCCAATTGGGATTGTTCACTAGCCAATATATTAGCAAATATCGCTGTGGGCGCTTATTAGAGCCGGGTGCTTATTACGTCGAATACAGTATATTATTTATGATTATCATAATATTTATAGGCAATACTGTTTCGTGTTTCTATTTTTTTCAAGGGACATTTTCAACAAATGTGTTGTTAAGAACTCCTGACTTTGTGATACAATATGGTGTGGTATACTAGATGAAATGTAACGCATCAATAACCTGAGAAATATGCCATTATCATATAACATCACATGTAAAAAATGCTATCAACATGCATGAAGAAATCTAGCTTCCAATAAGCAAAATAAATAACCATAAAGATGATATGATAATCTGGTCATGTAAAAGTGGTTTTTTCTGTGGCAATTGAGAAAGAGAGCAAAATGTACTTTTCTGCTTATTAGACAAGTTTTTATTAATTAGACAATAGTATTATTTACATGAAGTGTTTTCCAATTTCATCTTTGCATTTTTCTTATCAAGAAGATGCATAATGGATAAGAATGGTCCATGATGGAAGTGCTGCAACTTCAAAATGGAATTTCTTAAAAATACTTTTTTGAAGTGATATAGTGGCATATTTTCTTATCTTTTCATCTTTTGAGGTAATAAGTGTCACAGGAATTGTATTTATTGTAAATTCCTGTTTTTAATATTTGTTTTGAAGAGATATTTTGGAACAGATGTCATTCAAAGGAAAATTGTAGTCTCTTTTACATAAATAAATATTTAAAGATGTCCATGTCAAAATGATATATTCTATTCTGGGTTTTACTGTTTACCGATATGAAACCTGCAACATATCAAAATTGTTTAAATAAGCATCCCACAGCCTTCTGACTATAGTGTATGAGGTCCTTAGATAGAAGCATACAGATACATGTATACTCAACAGCAAAAGTAACTGATCATGTGTGTATGTTATTGACAACTGAAATGATGGAAAATTTAAATGAACAACAAAAGTCTATGGAAAAGGCATTGGTCCATTCCACCAAGTGTAAGTAACCACCAGCTGTACACTTCAAATCTACTGAGAATAAGTGAGGGGGTTCACAAAAATCACAACTTGATAAAAAACATGATCACATTTATGGAATTATTGAATTATTGACATGATCAACAGCTATAACATATTCACACCTGTATATACTACTACTACTGCTGCTGCTGCTGCTGCTGCTACTACTACTGCTACTACTGCTGCTGCTGCTACTACAACTACAACTATTACTACTACTACTACTAATACTATTACTATTACTACTACTACTACTACAATGTACTACTGCTGCTGCTACTATTATTACTACTACTACTACTACTACTACTGCTATTACTGCTATTACTGCTATTACTGCTACTACTACTACTGCTGCTGCTACTACTACTACTACTACTACTACTACTTCTATTACTACTACTATTACTGCTACTACTGTTACTACTATTACTACTATTACTACTGCTACTATTACTACTACTACTACTGCTGCTGCTACTACTACTACTACTACTACTACTGCTGCTGCTGCTATTACTACTACTATTACTACTACTACTACTGCTGCTGCTACTACTACTGCTGCTGCTGCTACTACTACTACTATTACTACTATTACTACTACTACTACTGCTGCTGCTACTATTACTACTACTACTACTTCTAATAAAAAGGGGAAGATATGAGAGCATTTGGTGCTCTGTTTAAATAAAACAGCTGATACATTAAATCAAACTTCAGTGTTGAACTCGTTACGACATGTGTCTCTTGATAGTTTAAACATATTGTGGCAACAATTTCTTTATTAGCTAATGGGGGGTTTATTTAAAAGTAAAACATCATGATTACTTCAGCAGATATTTTGTCAATTAACATGTTATAAGTATCTGTTCATAGGTGCCTTTCATTTTCACTTCCGGAATACGTGATTTTTAACTACGAGAATTCCCAAACATCAAAATTACAATAATTGTTTAAATGTAAATATGAAATTACTTTCATGTCTAGTTCATTTAAATTTCAATAAATATATATTCAGTATATCAATAGTTGAATATTTAACTTGAAAAATTGTGTAAGTCTTTATCTTTGAAGTTAAATTCAAAATTGTTATGTTTAGTTTAAAATTCTTGTCCCTTTTTTTTAGGAGTCTGAAAAGCATCCGTTTTACAAAACTTTCCCAGTGTTTAAGTCCTGTAAATGAAACGAAACTCCATTGGCCCACTCCCTCAGGAAATTAATACCCAATTTCCTTTGCAATCAATAACCCCTCCCCTGACAGAATGGATTGCCCTATTGCACCCTCCCCCTCCATGTTGAAATGGAACATGCTGGGTTGCCAATGAAAACCATCAGCTTAGAAGACAGAAAAGAATGGCGAGGAAACAAATTTATCAGTGTGAAACTCATGGGTCATCAGGAAATTCTCCCCAGCATCTGTAGTGTGCAGATGTGTGTTAAGATACTTATCTGCATAGGTATTCTCATGACAGCGCATGTGCATGTGTGGTGAGAGTGTACGTGGGATCGGCCCTGTATGAAGTTTGCAGGAGTACACGTGCATTCTGTTTTGCTAACTTGGGATTGTTTTGGTCCTGGAGTTAATTTGAACAAGTTTGGATTATTTTAAAGGATTTTTTGTTGCTGAAGGTTAAATATTTTAGGTGAGTATTGTTTCATATATTTAATTCAAGACATGTCAATCTTGAAATCTAAATCTAAATGGTAAAATTTTGTACAAGTTCAATGAATTTTTGTGTGAATATTCTGATTTTTCTCGCAGTTTTTGTGCTGAAGAGAGCCACAAAAACTTTGATGGTTTTATTCTATTAATATGCTTCTGATCCATTCAGGGAAT